CATCGCCCCTTTGCTCGGCCAATGATTCGGCTTGTTTCAATATCGACAAGCATCCATTAAAGTCTCCTTCAGCATAATGAAAATCTGCACGCTGCCACAAAAAATGATAAGTCCAGTCGGGCATGTTACGTCTAATTATGATTAATCAACAAATTATTACAATATATGTATTAATATATATAATTAGGCTTGAATCCTTGTAGAAAAGAAATCCACCCACTCCATTGCTTCCACTACGCTGGATTTCATGAGATTTCGCGCCGCCTTTAAATTATGTGTACTTTTGAGGATATTGCATTGAAGATCAATCATTTTAAATCTGATTTCGGTAGCGTTATCTAGCTATCAAAAGAAATTAAATACATTCTTATTCTTTGCATATGTTACCGCTTATTATTTATTTTAAGAAAACAACTAATTTTGCAGCCCTTACCTTCTGTGCGACCAAAATCTGGATGGGTTTATAATTAATGTTAACGTCAAATGTTGTTGAATTTCAGTTCGAATGAAAAATATAATTTAAAATCGTTTAATATTTACAGCCTTTTGCAAATGACTTTCTGCTTCTCGGATGTTGTCAGTAAACCAGAATAGAATTTGACTCAACCTGAAACGCGTCTTCAGCTCGACAAGGGGCATATACGTGCTCCCACTAGTAATACTCGTGATGACGGCTTCCAAGCATTTAATTGCGGCTAGAATATGCTTTTGATGCTGAGGTGATAACTTTGGAAAGTTTGCTAAGGAAGCAGTGGGCAAGGACGCTGCTTTGGATAAGTAATGTTCAGCCAGATACCAAAGGAGCTGATGAGGTAGTAGTTGCGGTTCTTGCTGCTGTGGTATTTGCGACTGAGGTAGTTGCGGTTGATACGACGCAGAATGTGCACGTGCTTGAGAAGGAGCTTGCGTTGGAATCATAGGTTGCGACAACTGCTGTTGTGATGGTATTTGTTCTAGTGATTGTGGAGATGGTGGTCGCGAAATTGGTTGTTTTGGCTGTTGTAGTGATAATGATTGTTGTGATGACTGCTGTGGCAATAATTGTTGTGATATTGATTGTTGCGATATTGATTGCTGCGATA